ACGTTGCCATCCTCCTTGAACATGTTGACCTCCTCGATGCCACTCAGAGGCTGAACATTGAGCTTCTTGAGAGCTGCTGACAGCTTCTTGTCACCCTCGACGTTGCCAGGTCCTTTGTTGGGCTTCTTGACAACCTTGCGGCGAGGTGTGCCCTTTCCGCCTACTCGTCGCATGCCCAAGCCGCCACGAAGGAGTATCAGTCGATTCGAAGCCAACAGCAGGATGATCGAGCACGCAAGCAAGTGGATAAGAGGTGACGATGTAAGATCAGCACCGCTCCGTTCGGCTTGTATGAGGTCACGTTGGCTTATTCGAGCAGCGAGCTGCGAAAATATAACGCTACGCACCTTGGCGGCTAGCAGCCTGAAGCTTGGCAAGCTTTTCCTGATCAATGACCATATTTGCAGAGCCTCTTTGGCAAGCGTCGTTTGATAGTCGAGAAGCCGAAGAGGTCGAATGCGGATGAGTAGGGCAGGTCGCAGCTGTTTGATTAACTGGATGAGAGCATACATTCAGATTCGGGTCGACCCGATGTAGTGTCAATCGTCTGAGAGCGTGAGTCGCGAACGAAGCTTCTGCAGATGCCCGCGTCCGCCGCCCTCACGGCAGCCTAGCTGCTGCAAAAAGCCAGCAGGCAGCGAGCGCTTCAATCAAGCGGAGCCTGTAGCGAAGCGGTGTGTTGCGATTGCCGCGTGACCATTGACTAGGCGTAGCCCACCAGACCGGTGTGAGCTTCGGCCGAAGTCACAAGAGGTCCGCGCACGTGACCACAACGGTGGCAGGGTGCACGAGCTGACTTCCGACGCTCCCTGCTCCGCAGCTCCACTCATGACTAATGACCATTCACGATTGAACCGAACTCAAGACTTTCCGTCCGGACGCAACCTTTGCTCCTCAGCACAGCGGTCACCGATTTCCCAGTGACAGGTGTCCGGCTCACTGCGGCTCGGGTATTGAAGGCTGAATCGTGCTACTCATTGGGTTCCTGAGTGATGTCGAGGCCGACCTTGACCGGATTGAGTTCCGTCACAATCAGCTGCGTGACAGCTTAAGCATTCACCACTGCCCAATCAGCAGCTTGATCAGAACTTCACTCTCCACTCTGAGGCACCCACGTGCAGAGCATTGAGCGGAGGCAGACGGCAGCAAGTTGAGAGCTTCGTAGATCAATAGACACGCCATTTCCTATCGATTGGAGACGCGTCGTCGAATGTCAAGTGCGAAGCATAACCGTTCATGAGGTCCGGTCGCTATATTTGTTGTGTAGCGATGAAGCAAGCACCTTCAAGGCGCATTTCGGCTCATCAATCGTGAATCCTGATGAATTTGAGACGAGGAATCAGAATCA